AATGACTTTGATCTAACATAAATGTTATCATGGTGTGATATCATTACTACTGTTTGGTAATTAGCTCCAAAGTCTAATTGTAGATGGAACGAAGGAGAGGTGATAGGAGGAGGTACAACAGAATGGGACAATATAATCATATGGGAACCAATGTCTCTTCGTCACTATCGCTCCTATAATTGTATTGTCCCATTCTGTCGTACCTCCTCCTATTGCTTCTCCTTCCTTCTATCTACCATTATGCTTTGGAACTCTCTTCCAAGTAAAATCAAACAATCAACCTTTATCTCTTATCTTATTTATTACATCAGCTATTTATTCTTCAAAAAATAAGAGTCAATCTATTTGCTTGAACAAGCACTGATTATTTACTAAAATCTGATTTACTTGAAACTTCACTGGAAGACAGGAAGTGCAATACAAGCCAATGGTCAGAGTTAACTTAACTTAAGCATGGAAATCATTCATATAATAACTTCAATAATTAAGTTAACTCTGGCCATTGGTTTATACAGCACTTCCTATCTTAACTTAATGCTTTAATTTAGGTTCAGTATTAAGTGTGAATCAGCCTAAAGTGTATAAAACATTTACTAATACATGTAAGTTGACACACACATTAATATGTGCTGAGTACTAGTTGCAATCCATTTATTGGGCCACAAATCAGTAAGCAGAGTCATCCCTTAACACAGTTTCCAAATTGATGCAATGTTATTAAATAAATAAAGCAAGAAAATTGAAGATCTTATGCTTCATATATACAATAAGAATTAAAGCAATGAATAAAGCAAAGTCTAATTTCAAATGCATGATATCGACTATGATATATATGCGCAAGTACATGTACATTACATATACAGAAGGTAAAAAGATACAAATGTACAAGCACAAATCAGGCTAGGACAGACAAATTAAAAAATATAATATTTTTGGACTGCCAATTGAGTGAGCTATTGGAGTCTCTCAGTATTTCTGTGTAAATGTATGCCCGTTTATGATACTATTATTAAAGCTAAAAAGATATTTAACATTGCCTACTGTATTATTAGTGATGAGTACAAGGCATGGTTAAGCCCTAATTAGGCATGGAGTAGTAAAAATTTTATGACTGCAGGACCTAGTCAGGTGGAGCCTGACCCTCATGAAAGACTATGCAGGACCTGCCCCTCTTTAAAAAAATCCTGCCTATACATCTTTGGGGGTCTAACTAAAGGGCATGAAATTGGCAAATATACTTGGGTAGCTACTTAGCTCAAAACTGTTATAACTTTATATGTACATGTAGCATACGAGCATCAATATGTATTTAATTACATGCAAACCTGATAACACGACAAGTAACACAAGTACATGTACTTTCTGTACTTACCAAATCTGTCTGAGAATGAGTGAATCTAGTTCCAGTTAAGTCATTTGATCACCTTGATCTGTCTCAATTACACTTGTCATAACTACTATAAGATAAGAAAAACTAATTTGTAGTAATAAAAATAAAATAATAGTTTTTGATCATACCTTGGGTCAATTACAAAACCTCAAATACAATTACACAATCAATTACACTCCTTTGTAAAAACAGACTCAACTAGAAGTACAATTACACCATGTTAAAGTAATTTTAACTAAAAATACTATTTTGATATGTTTTTGCTTGAAACACAAACTTGGCTTGCTTTTAAAAAAGGGCAATTCAGATGTCATAAAAAAACATTTTTGTCACCTGGGTTTCCCACAAAGCATGTAAAGCAAGTGGAACAGCACACTTCATAAACTTATAAGCATTATAGTGGATGAATTTTGAAGTAATTTTTAAAATTTGTTAAAAAATTCAATTTTGATCAGAATTGGCTCAAACTAGATGCAACATCAGAACATGCATGTGTATCAAAAATTTATAAAAGTGAAGAAATCTCTTTAAGCAATTTTTGATGAAATATGGCCTGAGACAGTGTACTATAGTACACGGTCTCAGACAAGATTTTTGAGCAACTTTAAAACAAAATAATGTATATTGTGTTTTTGGTCTTTTTTTTCATATGCAAGTTGTATAGACATGCAATATTATTCATTTTTGAAATTTGATCTTAAAACATGACAAAAATGAGACATATTCTTGATCTATAAGGAAAATGATTAAAAAGGTTATATTTTCTGTAACAAAAATGAAAGATGCATGTAGACAAATATTGTATTAAAGTTAGTGCAGTCCAGATACATAGTCAGCCAATGGTCTAATGAGTGCATTGACTGATGATACCAAATCACTGAACACTGGCCTATCATCAGGTGATTCAGACCAACATGACATCATTAGTGAGTAACTGCATGCATAAAGGAGAAAGCATAAAACAATAAAGAATAACAATAATGATAAACTATGTGAATTATCATACATTTCTTGTGAGCATGCTTCATTATTTGGAATCTGCAGTCTTCCTCCCGCATCCAGTAACTCCACTACTCCTACTGGATCTAAACCAGGATAAGGTACCCTACCAAGACTGAATACTTCCCAGCACAATACGCCATAAGACCACTATAAAGAAAAAGCCTCTATATGACTATATTATAAATTTTAATCAATAGTACTGACCACATCCGACTTTTCAGAGTAGAGTCCATCGTGAAGACTCTCTATTGCCATCCATTTCACTGGAAGTTTAATGGTTGCTGATGAATTCTTTCCTTGTCTGAAGTAATTTTGATCATAGATATCTTCAGACAGACCAAAATCAGCTACTTTAATGATCCCATCATCATCAATCCTATACAAGCAGTAGTTAATAAT